CCTGTTGTTCGATATCGTTCTTGTTGTGTTTACACAAGCAGCCAGCCCCCTTTTGCTTCGGACCACAACGAGTCCACATTCCATACCATACTTTTCTTTGGTCACGGCCCACACTGCCTCCGTCATACCATGCCATATTTCATAGCTCTGTGGCCTTGGTCCACAATGCCTCCACCTTCTATGCCATATTTCATGAGCTCTTTGGCTTTGACCCACAATGCCTCCACATTCCGTGCCATATTTCACATCCCGGAATACAGTATTTCATACCTCCGTCGTCACAGACAGAAACAAAAACCGGGTGCAACCAAGTAAATCAGACCACATAGGGTTGGGGGCAAAAGCACCGAAGTCCCACACGCTAGCGAAAATACCAAATAAATTACAGCAATGGCCAATCAAGGAAAAAAAAAATACCTGGGGCTTGCAGGTGTTGTCGTTGTACTGCCACCGTTCCCACTTGATGCCGGCAGCCTCAGACTTGGCCTTCACGCGCTCCACGATCCCTGGCGGCACGGTTTTGTCCTGTGATAGGGGTTCGGGACGAAAAAAAAGAATAAGAAAAACAGCGGTACACGGCGCGCATGACCATGGGATCGAACCGTCGACAAAAACCACAAACAACTACCCGATTGTCTGAAATAAAATTGCGAATATCCCAATCCCTGTACAAGTATACATCACCAAACAGAAGATAAATTTTGAAAATAATAGGACCATTCCGATACAGATGCGCATGTATCGGTGGTCCCCATGTATGTTTCCAAGCAGAGGCTATTTAGTGGCAAATGGGTAGGGAAACGGCAGGAAACAAGACCGGGACAAGCACCGACGGCGGCGAAGGCAGCTTGTTCGCCCGTCGCGCTTCTGTTGGAGCTCCCGCGCTCGCTTCGTTTCGGCCCGAACATCCGCCTCGGCAGCTACACACAAACACAAGAGCCGTGGTGCCGTAGCCACTAGGACGACAACGACGTTCGCCATCGGCCTCGACAAACCTCGGCGAACGATACAGCCTTCATTCTTGCCGTGTACAATGAGCGCTAGTGCTTGAAAACATGGCAGTTGGAGAACATGGGGGGAGGGTTCAACGTCCACGCATACGCAAGAATTTGAACCCTACTCAACACCAAGAGTCAGATGCAATTGCACTATTTAGCTGGTGATGGTGACAGTCCTTGAGCGCTGGCGCGTACCGCTGTAGATGACGACCAAATGGCCTCTCGCCCGCCATTAAACACTGGCACGCTGGCACAGGACACCCGCCCGCACTAGTACCGAACCCCCATCCCGCTCCACCTCTGTTAACCCAAACGACCCCAGCCAACACCACTGCTCACCTTCTAGCCTGACTGTCGTTGATTCCCTATTGACTTGAGGACCCCTTCGGATCCATCTTGTTTAGTATACTTTTTTTGGGGTAAGTTTGCCTGTGACCACGGGAATCGACCGCGTAAGCCAAGTGTTTTGACTAGTACGGACAGAAGAAGGTACTGGGTAGAGAGAACGGAACGGTTTTTAAAAGACAACCACGGCAACAACTCACCTTGGTGTAGAGCGTGCCGCCGCCGTACCCGTCCCACGCATCGTTGCTGCCCCGGTATACCACCAGAACGTGGGAGTTCGGCTCCGAATCGAGAATATACCAGTCGTCTGCACAAGAAAAATAACAGGGTGGACGACATGGGGTACATATGAACCGCCGGGATACAGCAGCAGTGCGAGGAGTACTATTTAGTCGTCTGCACAACAAGCGGGAAAAAAAAGAACAGGATGGACGAAATGGGGTACATGTGAACAACCGCCGGGATACAGCAGCAGTTCGAGGAGTACTAGTCGTCTGTACAACAAACGGAAACATAAAGGGAGAGTGGACAAAATGGGGTACGCATGAACCGACGGAAGCCAGCAGCAAATCGGTTCCGAGTCGAGCAAAGCAGCAAATCGGTTCTGAGTCGAGCAAAGCAGCAAATCGGTTCCGAGTCGAGCAAATCGGTTCCGAGTCTGCACAAGAAGCTGTAAAAAGAAAAAAGAAAGAACGAAATGGGGTACATGTGCAACGGCGGGATACAGTACAGCAGCAGTTCGAGGACAATTCCAGTCGTCTGCACAAGAAGCGAAAAAACAAAATCGAGCATGGTCGAAATGGGGTAAATGTGCAACGGCGGGATACAGCAGCAATGGCAACCTATCGGAGGTGGGAGTTCGGATTCAAGTCGAAGAGGTGTCAGTCGCCCGCGGCAGACGACAGTGTTTGGACAAAAGGGGGTGCAGCAACGAGTAACGAGCGAAACATTGTTGTCTGTCGAGCACAGAACCTCGAGAAAGCCAATCGGTCACTTCTACATTTGCCCAACCCGTGGGCAAGAAGTTTAAAGCAGCCAGGGAGGGCTTGACACACACAAAAAAGAAACTTTCGTCCGGGGTTCTGTGCGGAAATTCAACAAGGGACATGTAGGTTTAGGGTTCGCCACGGAGCACCGGTCTTGCGGTCCAGCGCTCAAGTTCCGATCTTCTTGAGCCGGAGCTCCCAGGTTTTCTGGAGTACTGTAGTGGCGAATTTTGCACTGGACAAACATGCAAGCGAGAGGGTTGGTTTAGCTCTCGCCCCCGGCCTTCTAAATTTCCACGTTTCCTAAGCGGCGCATGTCGCACTGGACAAACATGCAAGCCAGAGAGGGTTTGGGTGTACTGCAAAACGATTTAGTCCTCACCTCTGTAGTGGAGGTACTCGTTATCCTTGTTGACCAGGTGTGCCGGGTTCTTGGGGTCCTGGTCGAACGTCTGCACCACGTCCCTCGTGAAGAACTCGCCGTCGGGCTCCTTGATGCGCCAGTTGAGCTTGCCCACAAGCTTGCCGGGCTTGGGGCTGTTGAAGAAGTGCACCTGCGCGTGCGGGATGTGGGTATAACCGCAGAGGACATGGTGGCTCTTGAGACACAGGCGCGTTGGTTCCGACAGAAAGTGGTATTGATCCCAGTTTATGTTGTCGACCTCTGCTCTCAATAGACAGGCGCTTAGAATACGTCAAAAAGAACGCTTGATCCCGGTATGTGTTTTCTACCTCTGCCAGTTAGACAGGCATATTCGTCACGGCAATAAGTTGTACTCATCAAAAGTTGGTGTTTTCATCAAAAGTTTATGTTATCGACCCCCGCTGTGTGCGTGTTTTTTTTACTAGCATCGACAGCGCGAATTGGCTGGCAAATGAAATCACGTCAGCCTCAGCGCGGTTGAGGCCAGACAATGCTTGCAAAAGGCCATGATCTGGGTCCCCGCGAGGGGGCGTCATGGGGGAGGATAAACTACTCTCCGGACAAAACAGACAAACGGAAGCAGCAGTGCGCGTTTGTGTTCGTCCGATCTACTCAGGCACCGGTCTACATAACTTTCGGTGAACCGTTGTTGACGGCTTTAACAGCCGGGGACACAAAGGATGCAAAGGGCGGTGATGACACAACAAAGGCTCCCCACAAACCGTTAACAAAATGGAACCTCAGATCTCATGCCGATTCCACGAACGTCACCGTACACGCCAACGGACACAATCTTGCGACCCTCAACAGAGCGAGAGTCGAGACAAACGAAGCTAGTACTGCAATCGAGACACTACACCTGAACAAGTCAGAGTACTATGAGCATCACCAAAAAGTTGTTGTTGTATTGCAGTCCATCAGAGGACCAGAGGCACCAGTCTACACCAAATATATTCATACCCGGTCCGGTAAAGCATATAATTGACTCTCGACAGGAACCTGGCACTCGAACGTGTCTATCATAGAAGTGCCGCAAGTATCAACCAAAGGTGTGTTTGCTGTACAGCCCACCACGGGGAAAGAAAGGCACCAGCATGCAAAAAAACAAAAAAAACAAGGTTGGGCAAGGCAGTTGACTCTCGACAGGGTCGCACGTGTCAATCACAGGAGTGCTACAATACGAGCAAAGCGAACCAGACAAAAACAGGCACCAATGAACAACAAAAAACTAAAGTCAGTCGGGTAACCTAGTTAACTGCTGTCGGCAGGCACCGCACCTGGCAGTCGAATGTGTCGAAGGCCGGGTTAAGGCCGGCGGAGATGTACCACTGCCCCTCCATCAGCTTGGGGTTGAAAGACTTTGCCTGCGACTCGATAGGGGGCACCGGCCAGGAGCCATCGTCCTGCGCAGAACAGAACAACACCACACAACACCAAGCAGCAGCAGCAGCAGCAGCAGCAGCAGCAGGCACCAAGACATGCTCTTGTGAACGTCATTGCCGTCGCCGTGCAACATATCAAACAAACAACAAGCAGCAGCAGTCACAACGGCCATGCTCTTGTTGCCGTACCGTTGTGGTCGTTTTGCGTTGTTGTCGCGCGGTCGAAGTCTCTGTCGAGGAAATCTCGTCCTGCGTTCCAGCAGAACTCTCCGCACACCTCTCCGGCACACAAACCAACCGCGCTCGTCCATGTAACCGAAAATACCGGGATTTCCGTTTGAGTCACACGGAAGACCCCAAAAAACAGGTGCACCTAAAAACCACGGAAATGAGACAATGGAATAACCCACAAACCTCGCGCCAAAATACAGAGAACCAGCGCACTACCATATACTCCGAGGATGGATGTTGTTCTTCGTCTGCGCGGTGGAACAGCTGTATTCTTACGGTTTTGTCCAAGTAGGATCGATCATTTGGCACACGTCTAAGATTATTGACCTGTGACCATGGAAGACGTCCGCTAAAGGTGGGTCGGTGTGGATTGTACAAGGTGCTGAGCTGAGACCCGAATGTTCTTGCGACGTGAAGACAACAACAACAACCACAGCCACAACATTAAGGAAACCGTGTACTGGTGCTCTGACAGCAGCAGCATCAAGAAAAAACACAACAACGCAACTAAGGCCCTGCTTGCCCCAAACAGAAAAAAAGGCACCCCAAACACACAAGCGCAAGCAGCTAGACAATACCTGTCGCTGCTTGACGCAGTTCTTCTTGGACACAGCGCACGCGTTAAACTTGCCGACGGCTTCGTTCTCGAAGAGGTCACCGCAGCGGATCTGGCAGTAACCCTCGTCGGGCCGGCCGTTACACGTCTGCAGGCAGATGATGTTCGCGAAGCACCTTCGCTCCGACACCACCACGACGAAGACGAAAAGAGGTACAATGATGACGACAACGAAACGAAGCGTAAGTTTGACGACGAAAATAGGTCAAGAGAGGTACAATCATGACAAGAAAAAAAATGCATACATTTGACGACGAAAATAGGAAAAGAGAGGTACGATTAATCACGATGAAAAGAGGCGTAGTTTTGAGGATGCCAATAGGTAGAGAGAGGCACAATGAATGGCGATGAATATAGCGGGGGGGAGGGGGGGGGGGCGACGAAAATAGGTTAAATAATGACGGTGTGGAGAAGACGAGGATGACGACGAAAAAATTAAAAAACGACCATGACAACGTGATGCGTCAAGGTTTCCGAGAGGTCTCATCATCATCTGCTGCAAACTAAACGACTAGACAAACGTACGAGAGAGGATCAAAAACAACCACAACGCCTCAGCGATGTCGCTGCTGCTTCATAGACACGTGTTTGCCACGTCCAGACAAGGAACGTCGCACATCTTCAGCGAGATGATGCTCGTCAAACACATGCGGGGAGCCATTTTGTACCGTCTAAGAACAGCTAATGTTCACTGCCTTCAATAAACGTAGCAAACACTACCGTGACCATGAGAGCGACGACCAAAACCAAGCGCACTCCCGCGAAAGCAACGCGCACACAACGGGCGTTGCCTGCTCGATTACCCACCGACAATGTTTCGAGGCAGTGGTTTCGGTACACATGACAGGTGAGCGGTCGATAACCGCAGTCTTGGGGGGGAGAACTACGGCGGTGGGACGCACACATACAGGGAAGGGTCCTCCAGAGTACCGCGCACACCCCATTTGGCACGTGAATCACGATGTTTTTTGGGCGGTGCAGCGGCGAACAATCGTTCCCGACCAAAAAAAGCCAAGACATGCTCGGCACGTCTACTCACAGCTTGCTTGAGAACTGATTCGCGGGTATGTGGTGCAGCGAAGCCTACAGCGGCGACAGATTCACGACCCCCCCCCATCCCATCAACTTTCACAAATCCGAGCGCAACGAATCGTACAGCGTACGTGTCTTGCCTAAAACCACGGAATCACATGTCAGACGGAACAAACAATCGCAGAGATTTGCTCCACAAACGGCGTGTCGACAGCCATCACAACCGCGGCAACAGAGTTCAAGAGTCGACTATGCAGGTCTCCAGAGCCGTCGTGCTGTCCACCCCTGGCTCCCGCAAAATCAACACCTTTTCGCCACCGGAAAGAAAAAACACACAGGAAAGCAGGAACAAACCCACCAGAAAGAAGCGCACGCAATCAACGGCACCGGAGCCTAAACACAAAACAAACACAACAGCTGCTGCTGCATCAGCAGCAGCAACAACAACAACAGCACCAGAAGCAGCAGCAGCATTACCCGCAGCAGCAGCAGCAGCAGTAGCAGCCGCAACACACTCACTTAGGGTTAAGCAGGCACGACGCAAGCGCCCCCCGGCACTCGGACAGCAGGCAAATCCCGACCTCCTTTGTCTCCTCGGGGGACCCCGCGAACGCGGGCATCGCGCCCGGGGAAAGCAGGCCACCCCCCCCCACGATGCTGCTGGCTAGCGCGACCCCGACGAGCCACTTCTTGCCGGCCTCCACCCATCTCGAAACCCCGCTCTCCTCTCCCCCTCCTCCTCCCCCCCCGGCGGACATCCGCAGCGGAGACAACGACGATCGATACCGAGGTTCGACTGCTGCTGTGCGCTGCTGCTGTCCGCAGCGGTGTGAGGCGGTCCAAGAGGACGCGAAGCAGCCCGCTCGCCCTACGGTACCCCCCCCCCCCTCCCCCCCTGCCGCCCAATGCGCACCGCTACTCCGCTGCGCCCCCCTGTTGTGTGTTGCTGCTTGGTGCGAACGGTACCAGACATGAACGGGCCCAAAAGTGAAAAGGAGCGATGTTGGGGAAGAGAAGCTCATCAAATTAAGCGCATGGAGGATACACAAGGACTTGAATTTTTCTTGATCTTGCATCGCATGAAGGGCCTGAGATGAAGGACACAGCGGTATCCCGGGAGGGGAAATAGCCAATCCGCCGCCGTGTGCCCCTTGCTAGATCTACGACATCTACGAAAGCATCTGACAAAATGTGGGTTGCAGATGGAAGGCATCCGGAAAGGGCGACGGCCGTGAGATCAGCTGCAGCACTCTCAACACAAGAAAATAGGACATAACCGCTTGTTGTTGTCACTCGGCACGACTCTCGTAATACAGTCTAGCATACCTTGACTCCCTACGGGAACCGCTGTACGTCCGCGAGACTATTGTATCAACCGCAAGTAATATTTAAGATAGCACGCTTTTGCCCGACTTTCAAATCCCGACCGCTCCGTAGGCCTTATTAGAGTCGCGGTGCCGGGAATGGTGGTGTGGGAAGGACCGCCTAAGCAGGATTATAAGAGTATCTAGAAAAAGATTAGGGAGGGGGCACGCCGACCGTACACCTAACCCTGACCCCAAAGCACGGACTGAATACTTTATCCCATGTGTTTGAGTCAATTTTGCTGCGTAGACTACTGTGTGGAAACCGTCTCGTCGATGAGAGCTTTCCAAAAAACGTCTCGTTCGATTTGTGCCCTCTTCGTCATGGAGTATTCGAGCTTAAAAAAAAAACGATCGTATCTTACGCAACCTACGGTAGACGCGTTCTGAAGAAGCCGCGCTGGTCTCGACATCAAATACTTTTGTTCCCCAAAAGGCGAGGATGAAAAGCGAAACATATCGGTGTTGTATGACTGCACGGCAAGGTAGATGAGATACATATTGCCGTCACGGTACTCTTGCTTTGGAGCTCGTAGATAAGCGATTCGTGTTCAAGATGTTTATTCCGGGCGCGAACAACAACAACTCAGCAACTACTTACACGGGAAGAAAAGGCGTTCTTGAGGCTGTTCACCTCTGGGGAGATACTGCCGTGTGCTGCCCGGGGAATCGTAGAAATGCAGGTAGTCTGTCCGCCAGCGCTATCAATTCATTGCTGGTTTGAATCGGACTCATGGTGGATAGAGCTCGCTTCGTTGCGTTTTCGTACGAAAAAAAAAAAAGGTACCTGTCCCAACCGCGCAACAGAGGAAGGAAACGAGGCGGCAGCTCTGGATACCCACGGCGCATCCGCGAAAAACAACTGGGGCGACTACTGCTGCTGTGGGGTCTACGCCGCTGAATGTTCATCAAGCACCTACCCAAAGGGACAGACCGACAAGGCACCACGAATAAGTGGCAAAGGGCGAGAGAACCCGTGGGGGGTTGCGAGACCCTGGGACTAACGTCGAAGGTGACACAAGATACCACATAATCTCTCAGACACGTTACTCAAAAGCGCCCTCATTACTCCACCATGATGCGTGTTGGTACGTGTCTCTGGAAGCTCTCGACTATATAGTCGGTCCCGAACACCGCCATTTCCGGTACCGCCGCTCTTCCTGTTGTGGAGCTTTGACGATATGAAAGGGGTCCAAGGGGGGGGTTGTCATATCTGACGTCACCTACGGTACAGGAGCGCGTGCAGTGGAAAGCCGACGGCTTCCTCAATGCCAGGAGACATTACATTTCCTGTCTCCTGGCACACAGAAAGACGTCGACTTTCCACTACCAGCACACACCCCTACCGCAGGTGACGTAAGATACCACCCTCCCCCTTGGACCCGCTTTCAAAGCTCCACAACAGGAAGAGAGTGGGAGTGTCAAAAATGGCTTCTGCATTGGAGCCGTCTCTTCGAGACCTTCCAGAAAACGTACCGTTCTTACTCCATCACGAGCTTTGAATAACATTCCTGAGAGAGTGTGGGTATCTTGTGTCATGTCACCTACGGTACTAAGCTGAAAGCTGCATCATTGTCCTCTTTGAACCCGCTCCCGCCTGACAGGCAACCACCTCTTGAGCCCCTACTCTCCTCCCTTGTCTCGGCCCTGTTCAGGTCTGTATATTGAGTGTGGTATCTGCTGAGTCGCCGGTTGGATCATGTTTCAGGCCAACGGACACACGATGTGTTTTTCCTCTACAACCTTTGGTACAGCAGCTGTCAACTTGTTCTTCCTGCCGCCGCGCGCCCATTAGATCTCCGCCCCAGCACTATACCGCTTGAACAATTAGAAACGCGATGCGATCATGCGATTCGGAAATACATGGGACGACGACGCCGTTGAACCTGACCGGCATGAAGCTACTCTCGAAGTTGCCGCGCATGCGGCACAAAAGGGGGCTTTTGGTTGCAATCTCGAAAAGCGGGGCACGTACTACAACTACCAGGACACATGTATCCTATCATTGCCCCAGGAACCCCTAAAGCGCCCACCCAACGCCTGGCTCGAAACAACCAGCACGGTGTGCGATGGTGCTTTAGCATCGCTGACTTTGGCTTGCCTGGCAAAGTTGGTGATACTGCTGTGACAGACATGTCCCCACGCGCCCTGGCCGCCGCTGAACCCGAGGAAATATGACTCAGCGAAAACGCCGAGCATGATGTAGCCGCAGCAGCAGCAACGCCGGCAGCGCAAGCTAACGTCGGCCGCATCTGAACAGTGCAGGTAAGATGACGCCTTTGGTAAAAAGCGCGAGGACTCAATGAGTCTTCTAGCTGCGTTGTGCTGCCGACTCTCTGCACAGGCGATTCGCGCAAAACGGCGTGTGGAGGGGAGACGCAGAATTCCAAATAGATGCCCGGGGTGGGTTAGCGTTGGGTAATTGCGCCGCATATATTTCCATCAAGAACAACAATGTCGCCAAGCGACAGCAGCTCCAGACTAGGTGCAAGCTGTGCAGTGCAGGAGTGGAGGCCCTCTGTAGTTTTTGTCGCACAGTCAGTGTGCTGTTTAGGGAGCATTGGTGTCAACCCGCGCCACTCAAAGTGCGAGAAACCGAACCAAAACATTGGCGACTGCATGCGGCCATCCTCTCCCGCGATCCTAAACATGATCTACACGCTCCTGCCGTGCGCAAGGCAGCAAGCGGCTGCGAGAAGTATAGCAGCGCCAAACGGCAGACTTGTCGCTTATAGAGCTGCCCCGGTTGGCCTCACAACAGCAGCAGCTCTAGTGTCGATGCACTCAAGACTAAGGCCCGAGCTCCCGCTGTTCTACAACGACGTCTACAGGGTTGACCTGCCAGATGGGCATCGCTTCCCGATGGAGAAATACCGCCTTGTCCGCGAGGTGAGATTGTTTGACCGGACATACCGAGGAGGTGACGTAAGACACCATACCCACATGGATATCTTTTTTCCGGGCTCGATTTGCTCCGCAGCATACAGAGTGGCGGCACCGAAAATGACGGCTTATACGCATCCTCTTGGTCGTGGCGTACAGCAGTGTTGGCGAGCTTTATTTACCGGCGGTCCAGGGCAGTATCTTGTGTCGCCTACAGTACGGGGGCAATCCCGCTGGGAAGCCAACATGCCGCTCGACTCCGCATGCCCTCCTGAAAGAACTCCTGGTAGTGCTATCGGGTCCCACATGCTACCAAATGACACATGCTAGCGACAGGCCTTGCTACTGCCGGGGAGCATGCCGCTTCGCCTGCCGATAACATATTACACAAGAGTTGAGACCTTCCTGCGCTACTTTCCGCCGTACGGTCGACAGGGTCTGCAAGGCGAGCTACTGGGCCGCGTAAACGGGATCCCTGCGGTGTCGTTCGCCGTGTCGCCGACGGCGAGTCTGGATGACCTGTGCACGACCCACGATAAGGGCTACGTAGAGCGATATTTCGAGGGCCGCTTCACGAATGTGAGGGACAAAGTGATTGACGGAGATCAGCAGAGAGGGAGAGGGAGAGGCAGAGGGAGAGAGAAAGAGGCGTAGAGAGGGGGGGGGGGGGGGGCAGACTGAGACAGAGACGGAGACAATGACAGAGACAAAGTAAGAGACACAGAGAGGAGGGGGGGAGGAAGGGAGAGGGTGAACTGGCGCCGGCAAAGGCAACCCTCAGGAGGCGTATGACATCCTTATTTTCACTTTTTGGTTTGTGGGCATTCGCACGGACGTGCCTCTAATAATCCGACGCATTGATGATATTCGCAAGTAGGTTGGTCGGCCCGTGCAGCCCTTAGCAATGACCCTTGGCAAGCGGCTACCCTGGCCATTACCTCTCGGTCAAGGTTGACATTTCATCAGCGGTACCCAAGGCGGTGTTTGGGGTTCTCATGATGGGGCCCGTTGCGGTGGAGCAGAGAAACGCATCAAGCACTCGGTTCACTCGAGAAATGAGGGAAAACTCGGCCACAGGGGGGGTGTACTCATAGTCGTGCATGCCGTAGTCGTTTGACCATTGACTTCGCATCCCTACAAAGCCGGGACGGAGCACGCCGGGTTCTCACCGGACCAGGCTCTCACATCACCAAGCGCGAAGCGCCGTGAGGTATTTGGCGAGTCGCATGAAGGCCACAGGGGAAAGACAATTTACGGTAAATGCCCCCGCAGTTTAGAATCTCTGGTTTTGGCCAAGGCTGTAGTTATTCCACGGGCTCACAAGCCTAGATTTTGAGTTTTTCGAAGCTACACCAATTTCTTCACCCACAAGTTGTCATGTGCGGACGCTAACTTTACCTGCGTGAAGCTCTCCTGGACGAACCGAACAACCGCTTCACTGCTTCGATCCTTTCCCTGGGCCTGACCCCAAGGTCAACTCGCCTCTGACTGGAACGTAGCTGTTGTAGGTTGGCCAGCATCACATCCATTGCCAGGAGAAACGGCACCCAGGCCCTCCCTGCTTTGACGTCCTCCGTCGTCTCTCGATGCGCCGGCGTACCCAATATCTCTCCGGATCGGATTCGCGCGTGGGCCCCACCGACAGAGAGAGAACAGAACTGTGGGGTTTCCATGGAGCGAGGCGTCGGTGAAACGGAGCCTGAGTTCCGTTGGGGGCACAGTCGGTGGGTGGTGTTCACAAGAGCGCTTCTTAGCGTTGTTCAATCTACGCCAGTTCGGAAATTCGAAGGTGCTTTTTCTTCAAGTGCTCTGACTCCGAGACTAAGCGTCTATGTCCTAACCGGCTGACTTTCGTCGACGAGAACCACGATGAGGTTGTGTTTTCTATGCAGCTGAAGGGGGCGCTGGGCGTTGCAGAGAGAGTATCCTCTCTTGTGGGAAGCAGCGGTTGGAATTCAGCAAAGGCTGCTGTTCTGGCTCCGACGTGGCAGTCGTCCTCTACCTAACCGGCTCACTGCCGTCGATGAGAACCATGATGGGGTTGTACCGCACACGTTGTGAGAGGTAGCCGGAGGGGAATTCGGATGATATTTGATGGCTATGTGGGAAGCAGTGGCTGGGTCCGACAGTAGTCCCACCCAAGCGTTCGACCTCTGGCGGACCCGCTTGGTTGGACGTACCCCTACATTACCCCTACATTCGACCCGCGCAAGACGTCCCCAGGGCTCAAAGCATGTATTCGTCAGGGAAGGTCCCTACAGTAGAGAGTTCCACCGGGAAGGGTCACAATCATGAAACCGTCAGGACCGTCGTACCCCTGCCGATTGTCTCATCACGATTTCGAACGGGGTGTGCTTCCTCGAGTTCTATTTTGCTTTTCGCCGTGAACGAAGAGGTCCCCTTACCCCACCTCCACCGCCCTTCATTCCTCCCCATCAGCTGCTATGCACGCTGTGTGTGCGGACGGAGAGCTGCGTGACCGCCGTCCCGGGGCCCGAAGAACACCGCCCTCTCTGTTTTCGGGGCACATCGCAGGCGGGACGCACCACGCGTTTTCGGACAGAGGGGAAGGGTTCTGCGTCTTCAGCGACATCGCGGTGAGTTTGCTGGTGGTGTTATTGTTGTTGTTGTTGTTGTTGTTGTTGTTGTTGTTGTTGTTGTTGTTGTTGTTGTTGTTGTTGTTGTTGTTCTTGTTCTTGTTCTTGTTCTTGTTCTTGTTCTTGTTCTTGTTCTTGTTCTTGTTCTTGTTCTTGTTCTTGTTGTTCTTGTTCTTGTTCTTGTTCTTGTTCTTCTTGTCGCTTCGGTTGGTATTGCTATTGTTGTTGTTGTTGTTGCTGTTGCTGTTGTTGTTGTTGTTGTTGTCGTTGTTGTTGTTGTTGTTGTTGTTGTTGTTGTTGTTGTTGTTGTTGTTGTTGTTGTTGTTGTTGTTGTTGTTGTTGTTGCTTTTTGCTGTTGTTATTGCTGCGGCGGCTATATTTTTCTTGAGAGAGAACCGCCATGGCCTTTTGAGGCAGAAGAAGCAATTCTCCTCGCGTGTGTACCACAATCATCGTGCAAGCTGTCTTTTGTTCGCCTGATTGACGTGACAGGTAGCAGCTAACGTGGCCCTCCGGGACTACCCGGAAACAATACGACAGATCCTCATCGTCGACTGTGACGTGCACCAGGTAAGAGGTACTGTGCCGTACATCCCGTGTACCATGCTAGGTGTGGTGGTGATATTTTATTGTACGGCCGATTTTCGTCCCACCTGCTAGATTGCACCTTCCTATCACGACGCAGCAGCGCGATCACGGCGAAGTTCTGTTATTACATAATTCCGTTTCCAAGTATGTGCAACATCGTCACACCTTTCCTCGCCATTCCGTACTCCGATTGCCGAGTCGGGGTGTCCTTCGTGGAATCCCACCAAACCATTTTCATTGCGGGCTGTGAGCCCCCTCGCCGGCTTGTCGTGTGTGTTCTTGGTCACTTGTGAACGAGCGCCTTGCAGGGCTAGCGACCGCCATGGTTGACCATTTCGACACCCGGCAGACATCGAAAAACCAAACCATTGATCTTGGCTTGAACACCTGAAGAGACATGGGAATGAAGTCACACTCCTTTTACTCGGACACTATACCCTCTGCATGGTCCTGCACCGACGACGCCAGGGGAATGGGAATGCCGTGCTGTTCAAGTCGAAACCCGAGGTTTCTACCTTCAGCATCCACTGCAAGGCCAACTACTTCTCGGAGAAGGAGGTGAGCACTCGTTTTCCGCATGTCATTTCATTCCAATTTCACTGCTCTCCATCGTTCATGTTCGGCACCTCAATTCATTCCAGTTTCACTTTTCTCCGTCGTCCGTGTATGTATGCATCCCGATCGATTTCATTTGTTCTACTCTTCATAGTTTGTGCTTCGCATCTCCATTCACGCGAACTTCACTGTTCTCTTCCGCTGTGTCTCGTGTCTCATTTCATTCCAATTTCACTGCATATGCCTATGAATGCTACGATCACTTTCATAACATCGAGCCCCCTCCCGATGAGAACTGTGCCCCCCCCTGACCAATGGTCTGACGACTATAGCATGCGTTTACACGAGTACACCCCCCCGCCGGGTATGCCGTGCACGCAGGATTCCGACGTGGATATTGAGGTGGAGGAAGGTGCCGGCGATGAGGAGTATCTATCCCTCTTGTCCGAACGCCTTCCAAGTCTAGTGGACCACGTCCGACCAGACCTAATCTTTTACCAGGTATGCAGAAGAAGATGAAACCGTCCGAACGCCCCCCAATTCGATTTGATCAGATCTGATTAGACGTAGTATTTTACCAGGTACTGTACCCAGAAGATGAAACTATTAGAACGCCTTCCAAGTTTAGTGGGACATGTCCGACCAGACCCCATCAGGCACGTAGGAGATGAAACCGTCAGAACGCCTTCCAAGTCCAGTGGATCAAGTCCGACCAGATCTACACAATATGAACTCACGACGCGATCTGCAATCCGATGGGATCTCGTTGAAACACGCTCGAAATTCAACACCGGCATTTATTGTACAATTTCTGTGCACCTTTGTTGGTTTTCGTGAGGAAGAAGACAATTGTTTTGTTTTCGTCCATCGTGTGGCACCGTGTGCTCTCGGTGATTGGCGCTGGCCAACACGACAGGGAGGCGTCGACCCCCTGGAGCACGACCGACTTGGGAGGTTAAGCCTCACGAGGGAAGGGCTGCGTCTACGAAATCGCCTGGTATACGACACGGCCCTTGCGAGGGGCATCCCTACCGTACTCACGGTGAGCGAGCTGGCTGTCTTTGGCCTTGGGATGTTTGTGAGTGTTTTGTCGTTGGCGTCGCTTTCGAAAGGGGCATCCCTGTCGTACTCACGGTTGAGTGAGATATTATAGCTGTCGTTGGGGCTGGTTGTTTGTTTGCTTGGTTGTTGATGTGGTGCTCACCAGGGTTATCCTTTCCGTCGTAGACGTCGACCTCGCTGGCTGTCGTGGGCTTGGTTGTTTGGTTGGCTGTTGGCCTTAAGACCGGGTTGTGTGTCACGGAGGACGCAATCACGGTGCCCCCTTGACCCCTAGTCATCGTACATCGTACCACGAGGCGTTTCCTTCTTCGGACGATGGTGAACAGCCTAGCCTACTCGGCGTCATTGCCATTGGTTGCCCCGGGCTTGATGTTGTTGCCCGTGTTGACATTGTTTAGCGAAGTGATTTTCCAGCACCACCGCCTTGACCCATTCATTCCCGCTGGCTGTGTAGTACCTTAACCCCTTTGGGTCTAGGCTGGACTGTCAGATTTGTTTTTTGCGCCGAAAAAAAAAAATGAGAGCGAGAGCGAGCGGGAGAGAGAGAAGTACAGAGAAAGACAACAGTGTACTTCTTGTACACGCAACAGCTATCTCCACCTGTAGGCCACGAGAGAAGCCGGCGACAGGGTGGTGGCCACAGACAGACTCGTAGAAGGGTTGGTGGGTGGTCGCGCTGCGGTAAGTAGGGCAGGTTAGCTGTGTAGCCTTTGAAATGATCAGTCGTCTAGCTGCCTCAACTAGTCTATTCTCGGTATACTGTAAATGATCAGTCCAGAGAGGGCAAAATGATCAGTGAAGACCCATAGCTGGTATTTGTACTTCGGTACTTCTCTGTTCTCTGTCCCCCCCCGAAATGTGCACTGCCAACTCTCTAGAGCTCCTGTGTTTTTCAAACAACAAGCACATCCACCAGTCCACACCTGTACCTCGTGGTTTCCTAGGTTCGGGCGAGGGTGGTATGTGTGGCGCTACGAGTGTGGATGTGTTGCTGATATGTTTGACTCGTCTACAGCAGTAGTAGTAGTGTTGTTGTAGCGTTCTTTGTAGCTGTTGACACAATGACTGCTGGATCTTGGGAACGATTTTCAAATTGTTGGGAACCACGATATCCTCGATATCTGGGCTTCGGCAGGGACTGCAATACCCCTCCCTTTTGCTGTCCTCTGTTCTTTGCAGCAGTGGCTTCCTGCGTTCGGGCGAGTGTATGTGTGGTGCTGCGAAAGAACACATATGTATGTGTATGCACACACGCGTTCATTGACATGTGCATACGTTGAGAGATTCATGATTTAGCATTGATTGGCCCCATTCCCATTCCCGAGACCTTGATATTACCCGCCGCTGTCACTGAAGTCTCTTCATTGGTCAGCCGGTTAGCGCGGGTGCTAATAATCTAGACACACCTACCTATGGACTTGCCAATACACGGCGCGAAGGGCTGCAGGGCGGCAACTCCACGACTTGCCACTACACCAGCATTTGCAAATGATCAATCAATGATCAGTGAGAACCCCTGAAGACTCAAAAGGGTTAAGCAACTCCACCGCCACAAGTGGGAAGTTCCCGCCCCAGATACCCCTCTTGACCCACCAACTCTCGACATAGTTCAGAATAAACTTTTGTTGTAATGGTAGCGTTTGACACCTCCAGTCACTGATTTGTTGTTTCATTTTCCCTTTTCGTGTGCAACCCTTGCTGGTGCGTCGAACATTACATACCGGTTGGTGGAGCGTGGTTCCCACCCCACGAACACTAGATGAGACGAAAACACAACACGAAAAAGCACCCGAACGCGGCCGTGCCGTGCGCGCTTTCTGCGTCTTCGATCGTCCCTCCCTCGTGTTCAGATGGGTGGAGGTTACCCGAAGGACCTAGACCCAGCGTCGGAAGACTTCGGGCACATCGTGCGGAGCCACCGGGACGTGTACGAGGACGCCGCGGCTTGCATAAATACGTCTGCTTTCTAAGGTAGAGGTTCTTTGAGCATCGGCAAGCAGTAGTATCACGGGTTTCCAGATCAAACCCGACGTGTGGATAGACGTCGGCTTTTTAGAGGGGCGTCTTTGGGCGGCGGCAGGGCGAGTGGTGTGGTGGGTTTCCATAGCAAATCCGGTGTGGAAAAAGGGTTCAGTTTTGTACAGAGGTTACGGTTTCGGAGGTGGCAGGCAGTGGTGTGATGGGTTTCCGGCAAAGTTCTGGCGGCGATGCGGTACACGGGGAAAGTCCCGTAGACGGAAGCCGAAGACTTTGGCAAGTGCTGTTTAGGTATAGGAGGGAGGCGCTGAGGGAGGAAAATGTCATTTTTGCAAGTACGCATTCCCGCTTACTTGTGCTCCGCGCTGAGACAACCCGCGCTGAGACAACCCGAGAAAAGAGGCGCTCAGATACAACCAGCCACCGCAGTGTGGGGGCTTGATCGATCGGGCCACGCTAGCTTTACCGTCGCGTCCTGTTTGAGCGGGCCAACATGGTTCCGCGGCTTCCAAACCCTCCCAGTCGTCGTCATGTAGGAATCAATTTTTTAGTCTAAAGGGTGAAAGTCATCGCCCCGTCTATGGAAAAAAAACCAAGACAGATACAACAAGGACATCACAACAACACTTCAACTGTATCCACACTAGCACCGAACGTTGCCGCAAGCTGTCTGGCCGGTACGCCCCGCCCCGTACGTACACATCAGCTGGGTCCATTCTAAGGTCTAAGAGGATGTTATCGCCGCCAATCACAACGGGAAGTGTTATCTTTGGGGGCACAACGAACGAGTTGTCAATTCTATTCTCACTCAGCCTTCACAGTCCCAAGGAGTTCGACCCCCCGACAGATTTACTCCTCCCCCCACCGCCGCCACAATCTCCCGAGGCTTCCCTTTCTTGGTGGCCGGTAAATATGGGCATCAAATGCAAGATGCCACACCATGGCCACTCGAAGTCGTTCAAGAACTAGGGTGAAAGAAGAAGTAGCCGTCGCCGAAATCTTATGATTGGCGTCAGCAAAGGCACCAAAAAAAAACTTCTAGTCGTACCCTGCTACGGAGAATCTTTGAACCTAAGCCAGAACATCGTGTGACTTGGGACACGAAAGCTTGTGCTTTTTAGCAACAGGCCAAAGCTTGACCTCATACCTCCAAGTGATTTCAAACAGTGCCATGAAAGGGTCACCCTGCACCCAACCTTGTGAAACGCACCAGGAACAAAATTCGATGCAATACTAACTCTAAGTGATTTGAACCATTGCCGAAAAGTCGTGTGACTTGGAACTCAACCTTCACCTTTTCATCACACCAAAGTTGTAAGCAACCTTTTGTGATATTGAACGGGAACAAACACTCGACACAATGTTATTCCCAAGTGGCACAAACAAGAGAAAAAAACATGCGGTGCTTGAGGTGCGACAGGAAAACATTCCAAGCACCCAAGCTTGAAAATTCCAACATGACTTCCGCTCCATCTGCTTCAGTGACTTCAAAACCAAATTCACTCTCGCCCGAAGAATACTCTAGGCCCAACAAGCGAGGAGAAAAGCGCGGAGCAACACGTCAACCGTTTCATTTCCTCCACAGAAAAATCCTTCCAAATCTTTTGGAAAAACCAAATTCACCAGCAAAATTTATCCCTGGCAAGTGGTCGTGACAGAAGGTAGCCGGCACGGACAACATAAATTGGAGCAAACATCCCGTTCGAGAAACAGAGGATTAAATCTTCACGAACAAATACGAGTGCTCAGAAACACAACTCAACTACGGGTCCAACGCAACCCGAATTTGAGGCCTGACCAGAAATGAGTGTTTCTCCCCAGCGGGTGGCTACTTCCGTAGGCCTTGTTGGCACTCAAGCTGTTACGAAGCAATAGGAAGAGAGCAGGAACTGCAACACCTCTCGTGTCCAACCCTCTCAAGACAAAGCTGATCGCTAAAAGCGCCGGCACTGACACGAAAAGAAAGTAAAGGCTTGACAAACTATCGGAAAATGCGCGGGTTCACGTGCCGATGATGCTCTCAGCTCTCTTTTTTCTTGGTCGACCGTGACGCTGTCGACAAGGACTTTCGAGCCATGCCCGTGTCCTCGCCCCAACCCTCGGCACGCCTCGACAGCAAACCGGAAAACAACAAAACTGGGCAGCCAACCCAGAGCAAAAAGGTAGTTGATAGAGATCAGACGATGATGTTCTCCGCGAAACATCCCCCCATCTCCCCTAAAAACACACACGCACAGAGGCCGTTCATTACACCCTTCCCCTAGGTGTTCTCCTCGCTCTAACTCCATCATACCCTGCCCTTACAGCTGATCTCCTCGCTCTAACTCATCATACACGCCCTTCCTCGATACCTGTTCTCCCCCCTCTAACTCCGATCCTTCTCTTCCGGAGGAGGCCACCTCGCCGCGCCTCCCCCTTCTCATGATGAAGCTCATCGACGCCTCGTAGACCAGGAAGGTCGCGGCGTGGTTCACCATCGCCCGCACTATCGTCGGCGACAGCCCCCTGTAGAACGGCGCGAGCCCCTCGGTTTTCCACATCACGGAGGCGGTAGAGATCATGCCCGCGCCGGAGCCCCCAGCGCTCTGCATACGGCTCTTCACCACGTCCGCTGGTGGTAGGACAAGGGGGGGGGGGGGGTACTCTTATGTTTTGCATGCCTTTGCGGTTATACCATTGACCATGCGTCCTCGAGAGGACGGAGCTTACCATAGGGGAGGTACTCATGTGAACGCATGCCGCAGTTGTTGGACCACTGGACCACGCGGCCTCGAGGGGACGGAGCAATGCCCCCACAGGACCAGGGGGCGGAAAATGCACATTTGGGGGATAGTAGGCTACGGCGGGGGGGTCAAGCAAAGGTAGGAGACGGTCAGAAAGGAGATGGCGAGTGGGGACAAGTGGCGGAAATCTCTGGGTCGGTCGTTGGGGAAATGATAGAGATAGGCAACAGAACGTGTATATTCAGCTGAAGACAGCAACACCCGAATAACCTCCGACGACAGCAGCAGCGCAGCACAGCAACAGCAACAGCAGCAGCAGCAGCGTAAGTCGTTGGTAGATATCAGAACGGTTCTTTCATCTGAAGGAAGCCAACATCCAGACAACGTCCAACGACAACAGCAAAACCAGCAGCAGCCGTGTAACACCGGCATCGGCAGAACCACCAGCAGCAACTCACCGGGGTAGGTCGGCAGCCAGGCAGCGATCCCGGCCAAAGCCCCAGACACGGCCGTCTTCAACAGCACGGGCCCGCGGGAGGAGTCTTCCCCTGACCCGTTACCAAGCAGGACCCGTTTGCATGCCTCGTAGGTTGCAAAGTAGAAAGCGTAGCTGCAGCGCAAACGACAAAACATAAACGAAGAAATGACGGCAATAAAGTTTCTCGCTCTATTTCAGTCGGTCTGAATCTTCGGCTAGTGCCTCCAGCGGCAGCTGCACCTCTATCAGTTCTGCCAATCTTACAGAGATATTCGGATTTGTTGCTGCTGCTGCTGCTGCCGCTGCTGCCGCTGCCGCTGCCGCTGGCGGTTTCAATAGTATCGACGATCCTATTTGAACTCTATACATGCGACAGAGAACCCTGCGACTAAAAAAAAACAAGGCAGACGACCTCATAGAATAACTTCAGGCGCAAGAAGGTCCGAGATGGAAGGTAAGCAGCACGCTTTGCAGAGTGCCTGTCCTTGCCTACCCTGGGCTCACCTTTCAAGCGAAAAGGACCCAATCGAAAGGCGTAAGCTCCCGGTGTACCATCGCACAAGATAGACAGCAGCCGTTTCAGGCACAACGAGAGAGTACCGCGATCCCGACAACTTACCCAGCACTACTTCTCTCCTGTCCATCGAGATTGGTGTCCTTTCAGGCACAAATGGACGAAGAAGTGCGTGCTTCTATTCTATTCCGACGTCTGTGGTAAAAAGCGGCATATGCGGGCCGTGGCGAAAAATGGAAGGAGGCCTGCCTTGTGCAGGCACGGGGCCTGAGAACGTTTTCACCCCCGACGCCAACAAAAAACGACAACGACAACAACACGTAGTTGCTGGGGCACAACGCGTAGTTGCTGGTGCTGTCGTCCTTTGATTTCTAGAAAGGTGTGCCCCTTCTTTTTTTTTTGGGTGGGTAGTTGGCCCGTCACCAACGAATGCGTTCGCGTCAGTTGTACTGTTATAGTACGGACATTAGAAGATACTGAGCGGAGACCGGAATGGTTCTTCAATGTGAAGACAACAACAACAACGACGACGACAACGACGACCACAACAACAACAACCGAATAAACGACAAAAACAAAAACAATAACTACAAGCTTTCTGTTCTGCGTCACCCCCCCCCACTTACCCCGGCACCTCCCGAAGCAGCGTCGGGCCCAGCCCCGCGTACAGCCCCCCCCGCAAGCCGTGCTCCGCCACGAGGCCCCTCGCGCAGCCCCAAGCATTCGCGTACCCCCCTCCCGCTCTTGCCGCTAGAGAAGACGAGGCAGAGGGGGACGATGACAGTGCCGCCTGCATCACAACCTGTCAACGGGGGTGAGGGGGCTCAACAGAGGAACATTTTTGAAGTCGTTAGGTCAACGGCGGAACATTTGAAGGCATTGGTGGAGGTGTACTCATACGTTAGCCGTGCATGCCGTAGTCGTTAGACCAAATGACCTCGCATCCCCTGCAACGCCGGTACGCAGCACGCCGGGTTTTCAACGGACCAGGCTAGCAACAATTGGGGGGAGGGTTGTCCCTATCGCGAATGAGCACAGTCTTCATTCCACGGGACCCCGTGTCCCAAGAAAGAACGCAACAACAATAACGAGGGCTGCGCAGGCAAAGGCGATGCTTGTTGTTTCTTGCCGACAGGGAGGAGAGTGTGCTTCGACGGCTCTGCAAATTTATGGTGCGCATCAACAACGCAACACCAAAGGTTTTTCGGTACGGGCACGCCTCATGTCCGCAGGGCACACTCACTTTGATGCGCTCCACCGGAGTCACCACAAAGGACCCAACAAGCCCAGAGCCCATGGCGGCAACCCCGAGGTCCACAAGGTTTAGCTCTTCGTTGTCTGTGCAGCGGGCAACGGGATGCAGAGCGCTCCACGACTTAAGAACTTACCAGTAGTACTTAAGATTTTGCTGCTGTTGTTGCAGTTGTTGTTGTTGTTGTTGTTGTTGTTGTCTTCACAATTAAAAACCGTTACGGTCTCCGCTTAGTACATTCAAAATCCGCACCGGTCCACCTGACGCAGACGCCTTAACTTAAGCCTAAAAAAACGCAAAATATAATAACTTGGCCATGAGAGCAGTTGCTCAGTCAAGGAGCTTATCGTTAAAACCAACATAGTCGCTGTCCATAGTGTGTGTGTATGTGTATGTGTTCGTCGCATGCATTGTGGTGCCGGTTTACGGGCCTTTCAGCGTATACACCTGACGAGTCAGCCGGGGTCACACAACAGGAAGGTCTCACTGGAGTTTTTTTCATTTTGTTGTTTTTGTTTTGCTGCCCCACATTTCCCGAGGCGTTCATGCCACTCCGTATGTCCTTGTTCATTTCGCAGCCTTTCATCGGCAGCGAGGCACAGAAATTGACTGAAGAGAGTGAGGCAGCAAACAAGTGGGACAATCAGAATGAGCACACGTTGAAAACAAACAATTTTTTCGGTAGAACCAAAACGTGTGGGAAATTGCGGGAGGTGGTGTGCTTTCACGGAGCCCTGAACTCAACCGTGGCCGGCAAAAAAAAAAGAGAGCCGCTACTCATTTCAGTGATCCTGGAACAAAGAGACTTTACAGTGATTTTAAGGTTGTGGTGTGTGAATACCGAGAGGTTACACGATTTTTCCCCACGGAGGCTAACTAGGCAGGACAGACGTATCACAAAGACGATATGCTGCCTGCCCGTCTGGCACCGGTTCGCAAACCCGCCGACACTGCTCCCAACCGGCATCGTGCAAGCAAGCACATGAGCCGGTTCTGCATGCTCGAGACTACGTCCCGCCTCAGACAGCATCTTGGGGGGCACGGGGAGTGCGACCGCCGGGAACCCTTGCAACCCAGTCGTTGACTGAACCCTGGACAGGTGTCATTTATCGGAAAAAGATTAAGTCTCTTCGTTCTAAGTGTTAGCATAGACGTTGCCGGAAAATCGAGCAGCTGCAAGATGGCAAAAAGTGGATGTAGTCCCCCCCCTCGAATGCCATGCCGTTCCTCCGAGAGGCATGTCATTATTTATTGCCTCCGAATGTGCCCCCGGGGTTGGCTGGGTTGTCGAAAGAGGTTCGCCCTAAAACCTGGGGTTCATGTTCAGAACCGCAACGTTGACATTGCGCAAGCTCTTGAGATCTAGAGATGTAGAAACCGGGTCTCACCTTTAGTCTTCCAGAAAGGGATTGATGTTTTGCATCATCATCATCATCATCATCATCGTCATAGTGCTGAAGCGAGCTCTATCCTCTACCAAATCATGGCCTACGAAAGTATCACGACAAGGCCGCTTCTCTATGATCTCTCTCACCTTTACCCGTCCCTCTCCGGACCAACGCCTGGCACAACCCGTACCCGCCAAACACGGCCGCCTTGATGATACCCGTCCCAACCATCGGGGACAAGACACCCCTGTAGAACCCCGCCATGCCCGCCTCCTGGAAGAGCATGGACGCCGTGCGCGCCGCGCCCAAGGTTTTCCCGCACGTTTGCATCCTTTCGCGAGGGAGAAGGGGGTACGCAGGGGGTGCGCTTGCATTACTTTCATTGCGATATTCGGGAGTTGTTGTTGTCTTCACGTTAAAAAACCGTTCTTGGTCTCTGCTCAGTGCCTTCCGTACTGGTGCAACTGAGGGGGACGACTCCCATGGATGTGGATTGAATAGCTGTACAATTTTAAGGAGGACGAAGGGGAGAGAGTGATACAGCGGCTGCTAAAGTGGGGTAAGGGTGTGGGAGTTGCATCGGTAACGAGCTGCTGAGCTTCTTCTATGTTCCACCACAACGTGGTGTAGCTCTGGCTGTCGGGAGAAGGAACAAGGTTATTGCTTAGCATAGTAACGCGTCAATTATTTTGTACTTGTACTTAGGCAGGGCTGGCCAGGGTGTCTACGCAACATCTCTCGGGCGCGCTGCTTCCGCCGAAGAAGTGCAAACCATGTTCTGACAACGCTGGGACAAGGCCACTTAAAAAATCTGAACCAGAAATCATCGACAAGAGCCGAATCCAAGCGCCCCTCAGCGCATTGCATGTGCTGCTACTGCTGCTGGGCCAGCCGCTGCTGCTGCTGCTGGGAAAGCGGCTGTCGGACGATAGGACAGCTCACCTTACTCTCACCGTGTCGAGAGGGTACGACACTAGGGCACCGCTAACCCCCCCGAAAGTTCCCGCGACGAGGTGCTCCAAGGTAGTTGGCACGCGGCGCACGGGGGTGGAGGTCGTTTTTTGCGTTTCTCGCAGCCGTAGCTTAATGTTGTTGGCGCCGGGGCTCGTCCGTTCCTCTACTCCCGCTTTCCTCTTCGAGAAGACAAGCGTGCGGGGGGGGATGGTTAGCAAGGATGGCGGAGGGCTCGTCCCTTGCAAGAGGACTCGCGTGTTCAGACAACATAGCGGACACCCCGCATAGACGGCACTTGCAAAAGAAATATTGCTACTACGCCTTGAGATTCCCACACGGCATGCCCTTCCGTTTGTAGAAAATAAACATAACAGAACAGATAGGCTACCCGTAGGAGATATATCCACAGTCGAAGGGGATGTGCTGAAGTCTTTTCAGTGAGTGGAGGGAAACCGGCTGGGATCTGGGCTTCCTTTCCCTCACATTTTCGTAGCTCTTGTGTATGCATACATAAGTTTGACTTTCTTCCCGTTGCCCGGACTCAGGCCTGGAGTAGTTAGCGGTTGACGGTTTCAAGCTGCAGAGACCTCCACCTGTTTCTCTAACAATGCTCGTGCAGTCGGGGACCTTAAACTTGTATAGTGCAGGTAAGTGCCAAGCGCTGTCACCTGCGCAATAGACAGCACCCGCACTAATTGCAACCGCCTTGATTATTCCATCTTTACCAGCCACTTTCACCCGTACTATGCCGTGTACCACCCTCTCGACCCACCAACCCCGACTGCTGTAATAATATATTAAAAGAAAACTTTATCACAACGACAGAGCGTGCTTCACCTCCTGGAACGCTGCTAGCGTTGCTGCCGCCAGGACGACATCGTCCTTGCGCTCCGCCGTCGCTACCGCTACCGCCCCTGCCGCCGCCACCGCCGGCTGTCGGCAGAGCACGGCAACGGCAAGCACGACTGCCGCCAAGAAGGTCGTTCGGCGAGCCCGCCTCCTCTTTGCCCGGCGCTGCCGTGTTCCTGGCACTATCGGAGACATCTCCTGCGGAACACAAAAAAAACGAGCCGTGGTGCACGAGGTCGAGGGGGACCAGTGGTAGGAGTCCGTACCGCACTACAGCATGCATGCCAAAAAAAAGCTCATAGTGTAGAGCAAAGGCGAAGACCGATCCAGCAATGTACATGCCCGAGTGCCGCAGATACACTTTGGCCCACCGCTGGTGCTGTGCGAAAGGTGGTACATACCAAGCGGTGTGTGCATGAAAATAGATTAGCCTTTCAGCAGAACGTATTGTGGCCACGTGGTAGCACACGGATCGCGGCCAAATTCTTCCGTTGCCTCAAGAGCGACTGCTGCAGCAGTTGGACCACTTGATGTTCCATAAACATGTCCAGGCGCACGAAACGGTAGTCTGTTTTCTCCGACGGGACATAACCGGCGTCCCCTGGTTCAGGCTCCAGCACCACACCAGATGGTACATAAGGCAGCCAGCCTTCTTCTTGCGGAAGAGGACCCCTCTTCACACACATGTATTCGAGAACCGTCCTGGCCTCCGTTCACCACTTCCTCTTTGCGCGGTCTTCAATGCCACGATGCGAAAATTATCGTGGATACAACCCCCCCCCCTTTTTTTGCCCCTTAGACTTCTGTCGGTATTGCTGCGAATGGTAGAAATATGACAGCTTTGTCGGGGGGTAGAGATATGACAGCTTGATCGGTGGGTATGGTATCTCGACACTCGATCGATATATAGCAGTCTACATTCAGAAGATTGAGCTGGCAGAAGATGCGCGGCAGCAGCCTTCTACAGTAATGACTACTGCTAGAGTCCAATCTGCTCTCCGTCTGCTATGCACCGGTGCGCGTGTGCGTGTCCAAATTGCGACGGTGAGTCGCGAACACTCTGTGACACCGCGCTGCACGTGCACGCTGAGCGAGCGACGGAGTGGGCCTACACATAGCATACGAACAGCAGTGCTCTGTGGGACAGCAGTACAGAAGTGCAGCAAGCAGCCGTAGGGGAATACCAGAGATTTCCGGAACACAAACAAGAGGCTTCGTTCGTCGCGAGGCACAGGTTGACGACGGTTCCTACAATAGCGCCGGTTGAAACACCTCTGGCGGTGTCCTACGTCGTGAGACTACAGACAAGCACTAGACATTCGGTGTTGCTGTGTTGACCTTGAGTTGCCCTTGCCCACGATGAGCAACCATGCGACGACGTGGCATCGGGCAACGAAGCAGAGGGGGCGACTTAATAGAGGGAGGACTCGTTTTGGTTACAGTCGCAACTCCCCAGCTGCCAAACCAAAGCCCAGCAGGACTTGAACCGCTGGTATCAGAGGCGGGATGCCATCATGCGCACCTAGTCCTTGATGGCTTGTTATCGAGAGGTACAGCAGTGTATGCATACATGACATGAACCGTTGAAGGCAGCTATGGCAGACGTACATTCTCACACACAAAATTACCAGCTAATATCGGAACTCGGTACTTACCTCACCCAGAACGAAACCACAGAAAGGACGGGGCTGTGAATGGCGTCCCCCCACTCACTCGGTGGCCCTTCTCTGCTTCGTTTGCAAGCGAAACGTGGCAATGCGCGAACAGCGAGGCTATAGATGAGAGATGAACGAAGCTTGATATTTGTGATTGCGCCGCATCAGAGCTTCACATGACCGCATTTTTTTTTTCTACATTTTTTTTCGAATTAAAAAATTTCGCCGAAAAGCAGTGCACTGGGCGGCGTCGTTTGCAACGCCTTGCTTGCTCTGCTTGCCCCCAACACACGACCTTGGCTACATGCCAACAAGCCGGGAGGGGGAGAGGTCCTGCTGGTGCTGAGAGGATTGTGACGTACAACCGCCATCATTTCCCGCTACTATTGTATTGTGTTGGCAAGCCTCTCTACAACAGAGGCAACAGAGGGGACCCATAGAAAGGCAGGCTCTTCGCGATGAGGAGTCGAATAGGCCTCGCGCCTTCCCAGCTGCGTCTCTGCTGCAGAAGGCTAGCACGGCCATCACCGAGGAGGGGAGCAGAAGCAGCAGCAGCCTCTCCTGCGACGGTTAGTGCACGGAATTCAAGTACCGCCGGACCTAGGGCGAGGAAGAAAGGCGGGATGGCGCTAGGAGCTGTGGCATCCGTAGCGGCTGTGGCGGCGCTGCTGAGGGAGGCGCAGCTGCCGGATAGATTTGCGGAGTGGGACGATGAGGTAGGGGGAGGCGGAGACAAGAGAACGGCGATGTCTGACACAACAGCACGCACGCCATTCAACACGCACGCCCATTTTGTTTCGGTGTTGTCCCAAGAAGTGTACAACCTTTCTGTAGGTATAATCCGACTTTGCATACTAGATTCAGTACATGTGGCAAACAGCGTACCATGCAACAGGTACAGCAGTACTGCGGTAGACGCCGTACGTCGTGCGAGGACCGTGTCGTTGTACGTTGGCACCACCGCTGCTGTCGAGGTGCTTTTTGGTCGCTTCGTGTCACCGGCCAAATTGAGCGGCTCTACGGCAAAGGTCGAAGTACAATATGTCGATGGTTCCTGTGTGATTACTGCAGGCTGCAATGGCTATGATACACCCACGCATGATGGCTACATACGTAGTATTGCTGTGTAGCAGTGTTCCTTCTCTACAGCAGACAGCAGGACAGCGTGTTCCTTTTTTTTTAGAACAGGGGTGTTAATACGAAAATCGCGGACGTGTTTGAGAAAAAATACTACATTAGTCCACTACATCGGCATGTGTGTAACTCTGTATAGCGAAAAGTGCTGCACCAAGTGTATCTCAATCTCTTGACGTCCTTACACTCTGAGAAGCCAGTGTTGCCAGCCACCCCCCCGCGACTTGTCTATCCTCCAGGAAACACGACATATATAGCTGTGCAGGTGGCACTCATTCCATTGCTACATCTCCTGCGACAATCTCCCCAGAGTTCCATCTTCATTTCTTCCCTTCATGCCTCTTCTCTTCGTTCGGAATGTTGCTACAGCTGCGGTGGGAGGAGGTGCACCAGCTAGCGCAGCTGTCCAACATGACCCACAAGGACCCACGGCTTGTGGCCAGGTGGTTCGACTGTCACCAGTACACCGGAGCCTTGGTTGATCGTCATCTACCTCAGGTAATCGAAGCTTTGAAGTTGTGGACTACAGTAGGCACGAACTGCTGTGGACGATTGTGAACCTCAGGACGTTAGTTTTTGGAAGGAAGCTTCAGCATTACATATCTCACTAAATAGACCTTCAGACGATTGTGAAGCTCAAGACGTTCGTTTACCGGAAGTGCTCTCGACATTCAGTGGTAGGGTATCGCCCGAACGATTGTGACGCTCAGAACCCGCTTCCCTCCAGGAGATACGCCCTACGTAGCTGAGTACTGGTTGCGATGACCCTGGAGGACACACGGGGTTGCACGCGCGTGAAGTCGGCGCGCGCGGTTGGTGTTTCTGGCGTAAGGCGGCGTTGAGAGATGTCGCCGACGTGTGCCCATGATTTAACCGCACGGACAACAACAGAAATGGCCTATTTCATTGATCCCCATCGCCTGGTGACAACTCGAGCTCGGCTCCAAAATATACATACCCCCCCCCCCCCCGCCCCCGACCCTCGCTACTGCCGTTATTATTTCACCGCCTTGGCCTCCAGGTTTCGAACCACTACTTCGTTCACGTGGGACACCTCCCGGGAGAGGAGCATCGCCGAGTCCACCACGTGGCGATTCGAGGAACGGTCTCCTTGGCGGACCTTGGCATCGACCTCAAGACGCGCCAGGTACGGTAGGCGACGAAAGAAACCACACACCCCTGAGGCCGATTTTTCAAATCTCGATTTTTTCGGCGAAGAACGAGGGCGAATAAGTCAAGCGGTACGATGCGTTTTTAGGGAAGCTCTCGGGAAGATGATTCCAACGCCGACGTTTTCGGCACCGCTGCTCTTTCACCCACGATATCCATGAAAGCATACCCTATAACGAATGGCCTCGTCATTGCGGTTTCGTCACTGAAAATTCGGTTTTGTCAATGAGGAGCGTAGTCGCGCCATGTTGTTGTTGCATCGCGGGACCCGGTCTTTGCAAGCGATACCATGCTCTGTCGCGCAGTATTTGCACACCGTTGTGTCCTCCGTCTATCGTAACGACAAAGTGCGGCTGAACTCCGTTTTCAGGTTTTCGACGAGGAGTGCGGGTGCATGTTTCATGCGGGTTTCAAGGAGGTCGCCGACGCGGTGATCGAAGATTTGGAGGCGTTCTTGGAGCCCGGAGCCGAGGTGAAGCTGGCCGGGCACAGCCTGGGCGGAGCCGCGGCCGTGATCGTGGCAGCGAAGCTCAAGCTGAGGGGCCACAACATTGTAAAGGTGGGTGTGCTTCGCATGGCCATGCAGCGGCGACGGTGCCGGAGTGTGCCCGCCAGATTATTCACAGGCACTATTGGGGGCATCCGGCTCTGTTCACAGAATGAGACGATTTCAGCAGTCCATCCGCTCATGCGGTTTCACCTGCGCCACGCCGAGCGAATGTCACGCGTGTCAAGAATACGACCAACTACTGTTGCAAGTGGTAAGCTCAATCTCGTTTTAAAAATATGCCGCGACTATGAGGGTTGCGACCTTGGGAGCCGCGATTGCAACCGGCTCTGACGACTCCCAAGAAACGTTCCGGTGGTGGCCGTCTGCGCTCCGATGGTTCCCGCCTGTGATCTTATGATCTCGTGCGACCAGGTTACGACGTGCAAGTGATCAAATAACACAGACACACACACACACACACTACTTGCCCCCCCCTACCGGTACAACCCTCTTGTGCGACGGCGTGTTCGCGTTGTTCACCCAGCTACAAGACTGACGTCATTTCATTGGTCGGCCGGTCAGCGCTAACAAAAAAAAACCAACACGCACACAATTTCCGTCGGCAAAAATAAACAGGTGATGACGTTCGGGGCCCCCATGGTCACCGACGCCGCCGGAGCCGCGGTTCTGCGGGACCTCCTCCCGGTGATGAGGGTCACCCACGAGAGGGACCCCGTGCCGCTGACCCCTCTAGAGTCGGGCTCTCTCACCTCGGTGGCGGCAGTCAAGCTTCTACCTAAGCCCGGCAATGGCGGCGGCGGCGGCGGCAGGCACGGCGACGGCGACCAGGTGGGACCACCTTCTTCGCGCGAGAAATGAAGTTTACGGTTGTGGCTCCGATACGCCTTATTAGAGAGGGGGCTCCGATATATGCATATGAGGGTCGAAATTGGTTGTCTCGGACTCGACCGGCTAAATAGTAGCATTAGTATGGTACCTTCGTATCCCGGTATGAGAGGGGGGCTCCGGTAGAAGAGAGTCGAGGGTCTTTGTCTCATCACTCTCTTTTTTTTTACCGGAACCACGACTGCTGTTGTGTGAATATTATAACAGGGAGGGGGTACGCAGACCCTATCCCTAAACCCATGACCCAGCTTCCCCCAATCGCGTGCTTTGTCCAACATGTTTCCTTAACTAGAAAAACCCTCCGACGGTGCGGCAGGACAGCGCGGTCGATGAAGACCGCGTGCTTCAGAGCGAAGAGGAGGCGGAGGGGGTGGAGGAGTGGGAGACCGCGGGCTTGGAGGAGGTGGGGGGGATGGCGTGGTTCGAAGGCGGGGTGGTGTTGGAAGCGGGGGTCGAAGGCGGCGAGATTGCCGACGGTTCGAGAATGGCTGCTGGGGGGGGAGGGGGGTCACGCGGGGGTTCGGAGGAGTCCGGGGTGGGTTCGGAGGAGACCGGGGTGGGGACGGAGGACGCCGCCGGCGGTGAGGGTTTGCGAGTGAAACCGTCCCAGGCGTACTCGCACTTTGGTAGCCAGGTGAGCAATCTGTGTGTGTGTGTGTGTGTGTGTGTGTGTCTTTGTTATTTGCATCGACCGCGCTAACAGACCGATCAATGAACGAAGTCAGTTTCAGTGCGGTTGCAAAATAGAAAATGTTTGAAAAGGACACGATATGGGACCCCGTGAGGGGGAGGCTGTGCTGGTCTCCGGATGAAAGACAGAAACGGGAGCAGCAGAAGAAAACTGCACATGCGTGTAGTGTCGTTGTTGTTGGCATCGATCCGCGCTGGCCGGCTAACCAAAAAAGAGACGCCATTCCGTAGGGGGGTAAAAAACGCAGACATGCCTTCTGCTCAAATGCCGTGTGTGTGTCTTGTTTCTTGGCCTCAAACGCGCTAACCGACTGACAAATGAATAAACACTTGCGTGCTTTCTAGCCAACGTGTGTGCGTGTGTTTTTTAGCATCGACCGCTATAACCTGCAGACCAATGAAAAGGCGCCAGTCTTGTGGGGGGATAAAAAGCGCGAATACGCTTTGAAATCAAAGGGCGTATTCGGGTCTTTATTTTTGGCATCGACCGCGCTAGCTGGCTTGCCCAAATGATAAGATGCCAGTCTCCTGCGTGTGTGTGGGGGGACTAGTCGTGAGGCCAATGGCCGCACGGCCGCCCTCGTGCCGTGTGAATCCTTAAGGGCCACCATGTCTTTTGGTTCTTGTCATGCATACCTGAACAATAGCGGACACTGCTGCATGTTCCCCGGGTTTGATAGGTTTTCAGGTGGCGGTATCTGCTCGTCGTTGGTGTCGGGGTCGCGGAGGAATTTTTTTTCCAGACCGACTTTTTCGGAGCTGCAAACAAGTTACTTCCGACGTGGGGGGACACGTCGGAAGATACCACACCCCCGGGACCGATTTCCAAAGCTCGATTACTCCCGCGACGAAGACGGTGTACATGTATCACATGATGCGTTCTCGGAACGCTCTCGACGAGATGGTTCCAACGCCGCCATTTTCGACGTCGTCGCTCTTTCCGCCATGGAGTGTAGTCAGGGTGTGACATATGGTGGCGCCCTCGGTCTTGGCGCCAAGCGACGCAACGCGCAAACGCACAGCGACACCCAGCACGAAGGGGCAACAGGATCAAACAACGCACACGTGTTGGTACCCCAACTTCATACCCTACGCACGAGCAACAATATCAAACAACGCACACGCAGTTGTAGGCGAACTATTTACACACCCCATGATCGAGCAACGGTATGCAAATAAACGCACGCGCGATAGTAGCCGAACTACACGCGGCCCCACGAACGGAGAACAAAAGTATCTCAAGTACGCGAAACCAAACCGACCACAAGTATGTGAAGACGGTACACAACACGAGAGAACCTCAAGATCATGCAACGCCCACGTGAAATAGGGTCCGAATCATCTACAACACGAAGGAACCTCGAGATCAAGCAACGCGCACACGAAATAGCATCCGAATCATCTACAACACGAAGGGACGTCAAGATTATGCAATGCACACGCGAAATAGCACCCGAAGCATCTACAACACTAAGGAACCACCAGATCAAGCAACGCCCACGTGAAACAGCATCCGAATCATCTACAACACGAAGGAACTACAAGATCAAGCCACGCGCACGCGAAACAGCACCCGAACTACAACGCGAACACCAAAACCCCACGAACAGGTGGTGCTCTTGCGGAGAAAGAAGTGCCTGGAGTGCTTCCGAGAGGAGACAGCGGCCACCGCTTCCACCCTCAAGAGGTTCATGTCTTCCATGTCCGTGCCCGTGCCTCTGGGGGATGACCGTCGCAAGGGCCAACCATGCCAGCACAACCCTTCCCGAGGGACAACGTATTACGACCCTATGGGGGAAGATGGTGAGGAGGCGTTTGGGGAGGGGGGGGGCGGGGGATGGTAGCGGCGGGCAGAGAGGGTTAGCAGTTTTTTGCTGACCGCGGTCCGCTTTCGCGTAGCAGGTACTTGTAGTGATGATCAATAGAAGCCATCCGAAATGTAGAGGGGGGGGGGGGCGACTCATAGTTTGCATGCCTTGGCGGTTAAACCATTGGCTAACGTCCTTGAGAGATGCCTTGTTCCCACAGGACCAATCACCGATGGCCAATCGTTCCCTCTTACTTTGCCGAAGGGGGTAGCATTTCATCGCGCGGAACGCCGTTCGTTTTCACGTAGGAGATAGTGATGACTAATTTACGACATCCGAATTGTAGAGTGGGGGGAGGCGGGGGGGGCGACTCATGGTTTGCGTGTCTTAAAGCGTCCTTTAAAGGAAAGGACGTTGTTCCCACCGGACCAATCACCGATGGCCAATCGTTCCCTCTTACTTTGCCCAAGGGGGGGTAGGGGTAGCATTTCATCCCCCGGACCGCCGTTCGTTTTCCCGTAGGAAAAAGTGGTGATGAATGGAAAATGTCCCAATTGGGACGTGGGGGGGTCCCAAAAAACGCGCAAAAGTGAGAGGGGGGGGGGGGGGGGGGGGCCCACCCAAA